TGCCAGCCATTTATTGATATTTACAGATGTAGATAAATGTGCAACTGGAGAGCACAAGTGTGACTTAAAAACATCAAAATGTGTGAACAAACTAGGAAACTACAGCTGTCATTGTAAAGAAGGATTAGCTCAAACGGGAGACAATAAATGTCTTGGTATACATTGTTCTAAAAGCGACAATTGAAAAACTCATTTTCTCAGTGTTTTCTTGTGGGGAGACCACCCTTGACGAATTCTACTGATTACTTTCATTATATTCTCTTACTCAGCCAACTAATGCAGCGGTTACCAAGCTCTTAGTATGGAAAACGAAAAGTTAGTAATCAGTCCATCACAGCGAGCTCCCACTGTCCCCGGTACCCTCCTTGGAGCGCGCGGTTAAGAGCTGGTTACGATAAGGGTTGGTATGCTCTCCCTAGCGACGTTCCCTCGCCTTGGATCTAAGTGGATCTTGGGAAGCCAATATGGCTTAAAGGTGTAGCGACTCAAGGCAAGAGGTTTACATTATAAGTGAAGACTTACAAGATAGGCTATTCATTGGACAAAGTCACCTGGTCTATTTACCATGGTAATGGACAGACTGATAAGGTATAACGGCGGTACCAATATCCTTGTCGGTATTAAGCCTATAAACATTACAGTTAAGGGTTCAAGAGTGGAGTTTGCTGCCAACAGGAAAGCGGGCGAAAATTGCTTTGTCTTTGCAGCTATATGACCAGAGCAAAATTTTAAACACCAAATCATTTTTGACAAACCTGCATGCTGTAGCCCTAGACTGCAATTTCAAAAATGTTGGCCGGTTTCTTTGAAGAGCCGGGTAAACTTGAGAATCAGGAGAAAAACGCTGGAGTAGGGACGAGAATTCGAACCAACCTCAACCCACATATGAAGCTAGGCCTGGAATTCAAACCTACTATGTTGGGGCAGATCGAGGAGGCGTTCGTTCGGGGGGTTCGGTCGAACCACTTAAATTAAAAAAAAGGCATTATAACACGCTGACATGGCCTCAGAAGGCCGCAAACCCCATTTCTGAGGACCTCAATTTAAAAAATTTTCCGTGAGAGGATCCCTTCAGGCCCCCTACAGGGGACCGTCTTCGGCAGTCTGTATCTCGAACTCCCTTCTCTAAAATTTTGTATCCGCCCCAGCTACGGGCCACATTGGTGGAAGGCGGGCACCTCATCATACACGAGCCCCCTGAGCTCCTCTCATTTTTTCCTTCTAGTGCTTTCTGGAGCAATCCTTTTACTCGTGACAAGTTAATTTTTCACTTGTCACTTTTCAGGTTTTCAATGGAAACACAGACCCCTACCCCGTGGTGACAAATGATTTGGATATACCGGTTTACACGCGTTATGTGCGGATTTACCCTGTGTCTTGGAATCGTGCTCTTGTTCTTTTAAGTTAGAGTTATATGGCTGTTCGACTGCATAGGTTGAGAATAAAGGCAATCTTGAAGCCGCTATATGTGATGCGGTTTAATTAATCATTAAATTGTAGCTTGAAAAAGTTGCTTAATTATATCATGCAAAACAAAGGTGCTTGTGATTATATATTGTAAGTTCTGCGCCGCGGCCCGCAAAGGGGATATTTTAGATTTATAATTAAATTGAATTAAAGTATACTGGTAACAGAGCGGCTTCCAATCAAATCCCTCAGTTTTAACTGATTCTAAGTACTTAATTTGCTCGTGTCTAATTTTGGAAGTGTCATGTAGTCTTATCATTGCAAAGATGGGAGAAATACGATGAAATGCCGTATGTCAAAGTAAGAGAACATGATCGGGTCAAAGAGAATAAAACAATCGAAAAGAGCCAGTAAGTAGTTAGTGGTGGTTAGTAAGGATCAGACGACAAAGAGAGTGGAAAGGTTGAGATCCAACCTTTCGCTGTTCGCTGTTGTTCAAACCACAGTGTCAAGTCGAGGCTACAGGACAGCCTTCGGCTTCAATGTAAAATGGGGTTGACTAGCCTACACGACTTCTACGGTTCGTGACATTTGTACATTTGCCGTTCTCTGTTCGGTCACTCGACCTTTCTTGCCGCTTCACTCGTGTTCATGAAGGGCACTTCATGTTGTGTAATAAGGAGGAATTTTAAGTGGAGTTGAGCCGTTAGATCGTGCTATGGCAAATTTTTATAGGCCATAGGTCTGTATGGTTTCCGCTGTTATCTGCACGTCGACTCGTTGAGTTTAACACCTCTGTAATTTGCCATGTGTTTATGCATTGCCTGTTTAGGCTCATTTCTATTGCAAGATATAAGTCTCCATGAATTTGCTTTTGAGGGACAAAATATGAAATTTACCATGAATATGTTGCTTACTTGCATTCTATATTGTGCGCCGGGACGGCTGTGATTAGAACTGTTTGCAAGCACAGTAAGTAGATCCTTATCACGGATAACTTCATTTTCATGGAGGGTTAGCGCCCATTCTTTAGTAAAGGTTTGTTATTTTACAGTTTTATAGTATTGGAAACGGCTATCAACTAACTGACGTTACTAAAATGATAGAAAGAAAAAAAAATATGCACGAACTAATCAAGAAAGCCCAACCTCTTGCTTGTCAAGAATGAAAGGCTATTGATCAGATTTGGAATATGAAATTCCAGGGTATATGACGGAGGCAGCATCCACACTATGCCGGAGAAATTTGAAAACGCAGCTTTATTTCTACGGTTAGGCCTACCGTCCACACTAATCCGTCACGAAAACGGAGCTTTTCGAAAACGCTCTTCAAACCGGAGAAATTTGAAAACGCAGCTTTATTTCTACGGATAGGCCTACCGTCCACACTAATCCGGCACGAAATCGGAGCTTTTCGAAAACGCTCTTCTCTCCGGAGCAATTTGAAAACGCCGGCTTTTCGTTTTCGTGTGGACGGAAAACATTTTGAAAACGCAGATTTTCTTAAACGATGGCATTACGACAATCATGGAAATTCCATTACCGTGATTTCCTCAAACACAAACACAAATTCTTGAGGCGTAGTGTGGACGGAAAACATCTGATGCGTTTTCAGAGTGTCTCTCCTCCGTTTTCAAATTCCTCTGACGCAGTGTGAACGGGGCGTTATATGCATAGGACAAAATATTTTCGTAAGGCAATCTGTTATTTTTCGCCAACACACTGATCAACGGCGAGTCTTTTTAGGTCAAGTTTTACGCTCCAACCAGCAAATAGATTTCTCATGAACAAAGACATTCTTATGAAGTGTTATGGTTGACACGTATGGCGGCCAGGTTAATTAAATCGCTGGTTTTCTTTGTTGCCATGTGCTGGTGGCCTTTTCAAGAAATGATGTCAGTTTTAGCCTCAACTTCATCACATCGTCCAAAATTTAACACCTTTGTTCAAAGCGAAACCTAATTTAAACACGGTAGAAGAAAACAGCAACACTCGCACTCGAAGATTCCGCCTTGAAATTGTCCAGTCTACACCACAACAAAGGTACGTTTTTCGGCCGATAGACCAAGTCAGTGGTAACTGAAAAGAAAAGAAAAACATAACAAAAACAGTCATGACTTTATAGCTATATATCATCAGTGTTACAATCTGGAACAAAAGATTATAAAACAAAGAAAACGTGTTCATGTTTCTCTTAATTTGTTTTCTCTCACGGCATTTTTTATCTTTCGTTGGTTTAAAACAAATGAGAATAACTCGTAGAAATCACGGAATTTTCTACAGTACTGTCTTCAACTTTATAAATTTTTGAGATGATTAATTGTTTTGTTAAAAACATTCTGCGTGAGTGAGTTCTATATGAAAAATCTTAAGCATATTTCACGCTAGGTAAAAGATAAGGTGCCGCCATTTATCCTTCACTCTCGGTCATTTTCTCTTGTCTCGGTAAAATGGGGAACAACTTGGTTATATCGTTAAAGAAGGCTGATCTTTGCCACCAGAGACCCCTTCCACCCTTAGCCTTACGTAATGTCGGACGATTTTAATTTCGGACACAGAAAGAGGCCAAAAATAACCCCGCCCGAAATGTTTAAGCGTCCGAAATATTTACAGTATAAAACTTTCAACTAGCGCCAAAGTTATTTTATAATTTCCTTTATGGAGCGAACACGGCTTGAGATACGTAACAGCTTGATAGAATATGTTATTTTCTCGTCGGTGTATCTGTAAAACCTTGCGGATGCATGCAGCATAAAACCATCATTTTCATAGCCTGTTGTTTCAGTCTAAGTCGTGTTTTGTTGGCGTAAATTTACTTTGGCTATGTTTCCGTAAAGAGTAAGAAATTTTTGTCCGAAATTTGTCTGAAAAGAGATAAAAAGTGTCCGAAAATTACACTTCCGAAGTAAAACATCCGAATTTATTTTTTGCAATTAATGTATACTAAGAAGCACCAGGCTTTGGATAAGAAGGACGATGACTTTGGTGCCTGGACAACTCGCTCCCAACCGCCGTTATAATGAAACCACCTTCGACATCAGTTATCTTTGTATGTTGTGATAAGCGGTCGATCGCAAAACTGCTAGGTAACTAACCTCTCCTGGTTGAAACTGCATCGTTCTTTTGGTAGCATGTCGCGGGCTGGTCGCAAATGGCAACCTCTGTGATCTTGGAACTATACTGAAATGTGGGAATTTCATCATCGGAATCAGGCATTTTGTTTCGATCTCTCTTTTTTCAAAATTAATTCAATTAATTTCAGTTATACTAAAAGTATAATATCACTTTCACGTGGTACTTCACAGCTAAAACCCTGGCCAAACGGAGTCGCAAGCAGACGCGTTTACTTGCGACTCCGTTTGGCCAGGCCTTGCGTGCACTTGCGTTGACTTGCGATGACTTGCGCTCACTTCAAGGGTCGAAGTGAGCTCAAGTCGACGCAAATTTTTCTCCGTTTGGCCACCCAACCCAAGTCAACGCAAGTTGAGTGACGTCCATTAACCTTTTATTAGCCAATGAAATACAGGATATGTCTGCCTTGAAATGGGTTTTTTGCGACCTGCGTGTACTTGCGAGGAAACTTGCGAGTCCGTTTGGCCACCCAACGCAAGTCTCTACGCAAGTTCAACTTGTGGCTAGTTGCGACTACTTGCGAGTCCGTTTGCCGAGGGCTTAACAGCTCAATTGTGCCGCGGGACATTCTCTAAATGTGTCTTACACTGAAAACTAAACGTTTTCTTGCAGGAGAACCGGTACCTGGTTTGTAAACAGACATCGCCCGCTGAACAAAATGTTAAAAGACCGTTCACTTTGTAGTTCAACACGTGCGTTTTAATTTTCTTCGGGAATATACTTCACAGATTAGGCAGCGCTTGCGCTTACTAAAATTTTAAGAAGAAAAAGGAACAAAAATTATGGAACATTTCTTCTTGCAACCACGTCGCCAATGTTAGTTGGCTTCATCTTGTCAGCTCTCCTAATCAACTTTTATTTGAAGCTATGTAAATTTTGCTGCTCAGTTTGTTAATTTTTGTCTGCTATTTACCTGCCTCTTGTTCTTTTTTCACTATTATCTGAAAGAAGTGCAAGTGGTAGGGAAATATTAGACTCTACCTCATGCCCAGACCCTCATTTATTTTGCGAAAAAAGGAAAAAAAGAAGTGTGGACGCTTCACTCTTATTCAAATGCGAAGCTCGACTCTCAACATCTTTACCCTAAAAGAAATGCAAATCGTATGGCGGTTCACATATGACTGATACTTTTTGATTTGTAAGACTGTATTTAGAAGTTCTTTCCGTATCCATTTTGTTTCATGTGCAGTTTGCTGCCGTCTGACAAGAGATTGAAAGAAGACTTTTGAGAAATTTAATGCAGCTTAAGAACGTAGAGGAACCACAACACTGAGGCAGACGAGCTGCACTCTGTACACGAACGAAGCTTTAGCGAGTTTGTTCCGTAGCCAGCCTTGGCGTTGCTGATTGTAAAGTGAAGTAACAACTGAGTTAAGAGGCGGTAAAATCTTGAAACATTAGATACTTGACATACTTTAGTCGTCACAATTGGGTTTTCAGAATAAAGGTACAAAACTTTTATATATAGATAAATAAAAATAAACACTAATAAAGAGTATAAAAGAAATCCATCAGTGTGTTTAAGACTCTAGAAATTTGAAGATTAAATTTTTTCTTGAACTACCGTTTGAAATCCTTTAGTGAAGGTTTCAACTTGAGCACAGCCGAGAGTCTAATGAGTTTCAGAGTTAAACTGTTCTTTAGAAGAACGTTCTTTGTCCGGTTGCGGTTTGTAAAGAGCAATCTGTAAATTTTGCGAGTTTCTTGTCGTTCGTTGATGATGCGTTGCGCGGCCTTGCGTGCCGTGCGTTGTGCGTTTGCGTCTTTGGCCATCTAGAAAATAAGACTTCTGGCGCCACCCAGTCATAATTTAAAACTCAGTATCGCCAGACGGTAGTATAGATGCATTCTCACCTTAGACTGGACTTTTCAAGCTAAAAAGCTAATTCCAAAATGACATGCAATAGCTGCAGGGAAGCATTGGTGTTGGGAAACGGGATCAACAGTTTCCCAATAAGATCAGTGTTAAACTAACGGCACAGTAAACTCTTAAAATCGAAGAAAAATTATTTTGGGAGCGCACCATAAAAAGCCTCGACAATTCCTCACTCCCTGGCTAATATTCTTTAGTACACTATATTGTGGAAGCCCGGTTAATTATGATCCTCTACCATTAATATACGCAGTGCAACTAACACACTGAAACATTCATTGCAATTAGTGATTGGTTGCAGGACTCCAATCTCATTAACGAGACTAGTTTTAGGATAAATATTGGCAGAAATGTGGTTCGAGTGGCGGGACTCCTCCTCAGTTCAAAGCAACCGAACAATTTAGAACATGTAAGGTTGCTTGAAAATTTGCTTGAAAAAAAGGTAGTGACTTTGACGGAGTCTGAAGAACGGTGTATCGAGCCATCTAGTTTGTTCGTGTAGGACGTCATAGGCCCAAAAATATAACAACCACCGTCATTTACAGTCTTAATAAAAACAACTAGAAATTCTAGAGACATTGGGTGAATTAAGGAAGAAATCTTCTAGAAAAGACAATTATTATGTTCCCTACTGTGATCTTAAGTTTAGCATCGATAAAACTTAAAAGAATAGTCAACAAGTCTAGACAATTATAATTATTGAACGCAGTCACGTCATTTACGTCGCGGGTCAGTCAACTGTCTTGGCAATTATTTGATTTGCCAAATATTGAGTTTCCTACTCGGTATTCTGACCCGTCAAGACGCATTTTCAATATATACTCTGACAGGTCAAATATTGAAATTTCAAGATCTGACCTGCCAAATCTTAAAATTCCAAGAATGGGCCTGTCAATCTCGAGTTTGAACACCGGCCAAATATTGATTTTTCAAGATTTTTACAATTTCCAAAACGTAGATTTGACATGCCAAATCTTAAATTTCAAGGCTGCTGCTCATAAGCTATTAGTCAATAAGGTCTAATCTGTTAAAATATATTTCAACCTTTTCTCACTGGCTACCTTCAGAGGTTCAGTTCGGTTTGGAACCTGTTCTGCTCTACACCGCTACCAGATTTTACAGGCCAGCTATTGAAATTGCAAGATTTGACCTGCCAAATTTTAAACTTTTAAGGTTGCTGCTCATAAGCTATTAGTAAACAAGGACTAATAATGTTAAAATATATTTCAACTTTTTTTCACTGGCCGTATCAGGGATTCAGTTCTGATTGCTAGGAACCTATTATGTTTCACTCATACGCTACCAGATTTTACAACCCAATTGTTGCATGAATTTGCAAGATTTGACCTACCAAATTTTATATTTTCAAGGCTGTCGCTCACAAGCTATTAACCACCACTGAAGGATTAATATATCAAAATATCTTTCGATTTTTCACTGGCTAGCTTTAGGTGTTCGGATCTGGTTAGAACATGACCTGTTCCACACCGCTACAACATTTCTGCGTGTCCACCGTCGATGAATGCAAAAACGCAGAGAGCGGCTGAGGTTTGGTATTTTCCATGCATACATGAAAGGGTCGACCACGGAACTCATTGACAAGAATTCGTTGGCAACATAATGGTACACTCTGTATGCATAAGAGGTTCGGCAAGAGCAAAAATATAAAACATGCACGTTGATAAAGTAAGGTAAAAATGACAAATAGAAAACAAAAAGGATCAATAGAGTTGTATGGGCCATCTTATTCTCTCTTTCTAAATACTTTCTCCTGTTCGCCGCTGTCAGATTTGCTCGGACGTCTTTAAGTTCTAGTCTTTGCAGAGCAGCCACTTTATGTATTTTCACATAAACTGCTGTTAAAATAAATGATGGGATCACAAAATGTGAATAACAGTAGGCCAACAGAAAATTTTCCTTCTTCACATCCGCAACGGGAAGAACTGACATAACTAATGCATTTGCCCAAATGATAGCAATGGTAGCTTTGGCTCTTGCGTTGGTGATTTTCTGTGGGTATTCAAAAGGTCTAATAACTGCAATATATCGATCGTAGGACATCGCCAAAAGCGTGGATACAGCCACAAGGATCGACACAGCTCCGATGAAGTGTTCTGTCATGTTAAGAATTGGAAGGTTTCCCAGACCACAGTACCTGTAAGTCAGCTCGCCGGCGCGTAGGTAGCTGATGATTCCCATGAAAAAATCTGCAACTGAAAGATTTGCGATGAGGAATACAGAAGGCGTGCGTAGGCATCGGCAAGGATCGCGATAGATTGTGGTGAAGAGAGAGGCATTTCCGAGGGTAATGAATGAACCGAAGATCAAGTCGATGACGATCAAGACAAGGAGAAGTTCTGCTTGGACTGACGAGATGCTCGTTGCATATTCGCTAATAGTTGTCGTTGGTGTTGAATTCATGGTAAATTTCTTCACCTTCTTGTCCCAATTTTTTTTTGTTTGGAAGACGTCCCTAACTTAATCTGTGTGAGATGTGTCGAACACAATATTCGTCGTCTTTGTGGAATGCCGGCAATCGTCCCAAAATGTTGACTTTCAGATATCCTGCGTTGATGACGTATTCTACACTGCATCTTTTGTTCCCCATGGCCAGGGGGGACCTCCTACCCATGGCTAGTAAATTTGATGTTTCTCATCAAACTGGAGTTTAGTGAAATTTAAACCTGATAGCTGTCTTAAGAAACGTCACCAGGAGGTGGGACACAGCACAAATAGACGTCGAGCAAACTGCATAAGATCAAGTGCCTTTGTTTTCAACTTATCTTTAAAATAAGTTGAGATTTACATCGATCACTGATCATGATCTGAATAATTATCTCTTCCCGATTCTTAAAATCGTGTTTTACATGAAACCTTAAATTGTTTGTAAATGGTTTTTTATCGGTGTGTTCAAGATTAAGAGAGATTAAGGAAAGCTGTTAAGGCAAAACGTTTGAATTTGAATTTCATGTTTTTGAGAAACGTATCACCTCTTGTTGTGCAGGGTGACAATCAGTTCACGGTGAACTGAAAATTAAGGATTATTGAAACTAACAGGATGATAATTTAAAAGCAATCTGTTGACTTGGTATCAAAAGCGATGATGATTTCCCACGGTTTTTACATGTAGGTAATAAAAAAGATAAAATGCATGTTTCCGACAACAAAGAAATGATAAATCTGAGCTGGATTTCTTTTCGTAGCGTGTTAAACTGATATCTTCTCGGAAGCCGTGAAGGACTGGTGGTAAGTGGGCTTGACTCAAGACCGAGCGGTCTGGGTTCGAGCCCAAGCTGGAGTAAAACAGTAGAGACCCATTCTTGGGCAAGACACTTTACTCTCACAGTGCCTCTTTGGGGCTTTAACTAATTTTTTGTTGTTTGATTTCAGATCAAGCTCAGGGACTCGACAAACTTACGACAAATGGAAAACATCCTGCTTATTTGTAGCCTGCGAACGCAAACGTATTTCCGGCTGTCGCTTGTAGCCGGAAATACGTCTGCCTTTACAATCTAACATATTTGTGATAATATTAGAAATAAGGAAAAATTAACTGAAATTTGGCTAAAAGAACCAGTCCAGAATCATCATTATACCAACTGTCATCAAACCAAGTGTGCAGCCATTGTACTCGTGCATAAAATCGGACTGAAAATAGCATTTATGTTTAAGGAAGCCCAATTTGCTTGAAGGTCATGAATCCAAATAAGACTATTTATATTCACTGTCAAATGAGACAAGGAATATCAACCACGCAGTTTTGATGTTTACCAAACTAAGTGCATCTACTAAGATTAGATGTGATCTGCCTATCCTTTGAATACTAATTCTTTTCCATTTATTTATCTACCGACAGTTTGGAAAAACAAGCAGTTTCTCACTAAATTTAATCAATTTTTTAAGCCCAAAATGCTGCTTCTGTTATTGAGCTAACAAGGACCAAAACCATTGCCAAAAAATTGAAACACCCGCTAAGATTTTTCATTTCCCCTGGCTTTGGTAATTATGTATTTTTGTTTTAATTAAGGAAAAGTCCATCAAACCGTCTTTGAGGATAA